TACTATCGAATTACAAACTTGAAGCAATTGTTTGAATGTACGTTAAAATAAATGTAGAGATAAAAATAAACATTGTATATATTTTGATAAATATTAAGACTCCGGGAAGGAAAAACACTAATAACAGGCCAAATTCATTCCAGTGAGGGTAGTAGGCTCCATTGAACAATAATATGCTCTTCGAAATACAGATATGTTGAGTATTACTTTTACTATAACAGGCAAAAGTCGACAAATGCTTTTATCCACTCTGTTAGGTAACTTTTTTTTTATTTACAAATATATTAAACGCACATAGAATCATCTGCAAATAATTATTTAAAATATTTATTTCTTTCAGAAATAAGTTTCGAAACTATTTTTTTCGAAAAAAAGTTATTTCATTATTTTAGTGTAAATATATATATGAGCATGTATAGGTATATTAATTTGGTTAAACATGCGTAATTTGGTTTTCCGACATTACCATTATGATGCGGAGAAATTTATACACCACCAATATAAATACGTGTAATCTAAACATCTATCGAAACATCTATCGAAACAGATTTTTGTGTTAATTTTCAGAACTAAACTAGTTGTTGCCCGCAGCTTTGTTCACATAGTATCATAATAAATCATTCCCCCACCCCCTTTAATAGAAATTTTCAAATATTCTTTCTTAGACAATGCGTATGCATTATAAATTAGACTCATATTCAGGTTTTCAGTATTAGTAGTTTTAGTTACGTTATGCGTTAATAGTCAAGACAAACTATTTTATAACAGGACTAAATTAGGCTCAATAAAACTCAGTTTAGCTAAATTTCTATTCGGAGTACCTACATTTTAGGTGTTTCTTTTATTTTATTAACAAAAATAGCACTAGGGATGTTATATTCCAAGGGTTTAGTGATTGAGGAGTTTTGCTGCCAAAAAATCGCTTTTACAACATCATGCATTGAAGTACTTGTGTCACCTGTCTGCATGTATATCAGTATTATTTTAAGGTAGAAGACATATTCTGAAATATCATAGCAATATGAAGATAATCGTTGTAATAATAAATTGTAAGTATGATAATATTCTGACATTTATCATTTGAAAAACATTTAATTCTAAAATTAAAGTATCAGTAAGTCGTGCTGTTATAATACCATCTAAACCTAAATATGATAAGGTTTTATCAATATTGATCCAAATTAAAGTATCAATAGATACAATGTCACATTTACTTTTGATGAAATTAATATATAATGATTTTAAATGTTCATATATTTAACCAATAAGTCTTCAATTTCCAAACAAATAAATTAATAATAAATTTAAATAAACTGGTAACCCTAAACATATCATCAGCCCAAATTGTATTACGCAGCTCTATTTAGTCTTTCCAAACTAAGCAAAGCTAGTACTGGGGTAGTGGGAAAAAGGGATTGTTAGTAATGGGGTTTAGAAGTCCCATTGCTAGCAATATACTGTATCATGTTGATCTGCACGCAGTTCCCCTTTAAAACTATCGTAGTTAATCTTGTTCAATTCGTCACAATAGACCAACTAACCTTCTTTCAACCTCACATATCATCTCTCACTGGTGCCCCATCGATAGCACAGGCGGGATTACCGTTCCATTATCACCCATTAAAAAAAATATTACTTTACTCATAGACATTTTTTTAAATACATAACCAATATAAATAAATATAATCATAAACATACATACATATAAACGGTTATATAGAACAAATCATTAAAAAAAATATCTATTCGCTTACCAGAAATAATCCATCGCAAGATTACGTAGGTAAATATTAATAAAGGCGCAAGAGTTATAATATGAATTTTTCCACGCGACGAGTCGTGTACGATCAACAAAATCGGTATATTATGTATGTCACCACAAATCCCCGCAAACACTGAGGTGAGCACAAAGAGCAGTTCTGTAAATCAGATGTACCACGAACGAGATTTATGTGCAAATAAAACGACCACAATCCCGGCCGACCATAGCGCGGAATTATTTCAATTTAACGCCAGTTACTGTATGCTATAAATTATTGTAAACATTACATACTTACCTATGTGCCACTGAATATCTCGTTAACACCGCTAATTAACAGCTCCGCCATAATATTAACGAAGTGACTGATCAAATATTAATACAGTTCAAATAATAAAAGTTAATGAAAAATCGCCAGGGCTTGTAAACTCGTAATGTGATAAAGTTAATAACGAAAATTCATGACTGTATAAATAGATATACAGTACACATTAATAAAAAAAAAATATGAAATATATTATTTATACATATATCTGTATTTTTTAATGGGTGAAAATTAAATGGTAACCTCGCCTGCGCTAGCGATATATGCTGGTGGGTCACCAATGATAGGTAATGATGGCGGAGGATGAAGGCAGATCCGTTGGCCTATCATTAAGAATTCGACAAGAATTAACCATGGAGGTTTCGTGAGGAAACGCGTTTTTATACCCCACTACTAACAATCCTTACCCCCGCATATTTAAATTTCCAGCTAGAATAATTAGTGGTATTTCAGAATTACTATCGAAAATAGAAAGTATGTATAAACACAAACAATACTGCTAACATCGCATAATATAATGTAATGTCCACACTATTTAATTTTTACGTCATCAATTTTGACTATTCATGCGAAAATCCTTTAATACCCCGTAGGAAGAGATACAAAAGTCTTTTGCATAGATACCTCTGTCCTATTTTTCTTTGCTACTAGATATATGACAGTATACATAATAACTAGGTACGGAAGCATGATACCTTAGTCCTCTCCTCGATAATGCCAATCCGTAAGTACCATGGGAGTCGTAATTCCCATAGTTCACGTCATAGGTCATAGGTATATATGTATATATCATATAAGTCACGTCCTTAGGAAACGATTGTGACCGTATTACTTATACAAGTATTAAAGTAGTTTAATTATGGATGGTATTCTACAAAAATTTGAAGTAAGACATGCTGAAAACCGAAAAATTCTGATATTATAACGAATATTACTTTTTTAATAGATTATTATGGAATATAACCTTGCCTGCATTTTTTGTAAATGTCGCTTACAGCATATGTGATAAAAAGCTGTGCGCTATCTGTTTACACTATCTATTTATCACAATGATATTTATGGTGGACTAGTACTGAGATAGATTTTATATAGCTTGTTAATTCTTCTAAAAAGTTTATTTATTATATATGTATAGTTACATTTATGACTAACTAAACCGCGCGGAGGTCGACCTGACAAGGTATATTGCAAGTAATGGTGGCCTTCATCCCCGTTACTAACAATTTTGTTTCCCCAAAAACTAAAATACAATGTTACAAGGATACCATTTTCTGATAAGTAGTTCATCAACTTGTTTACCATTCCAAGTCGTATAAAATAAAAAAAAATAAATAAAAACCGGTCAAATACGTATCGAACTCGCGCACCGAGTCTTCTACAACTTATAATTGATAAAACAAAATATATTTACAGTTTTAAAATTTTCCTTTACTTGTGCTGCACGACATTGCTTCTTGCCAAATTTCTTGATTCTAGGTTAATGGGAATTATCCTTAAGGATTTAATTCTTTGCAAATATAAAAATGTAGACTAGAAAAGGGCTGTATCATTTGATTGTGTTAACTTAGAAATTTACTCTTACATTTTTACACAGCTTCAAGGAAAGACAGACGGACAACAAAGTAATCTTATAAGGATTCCGCTCGGTCCTAGCAAGATACAAAACTCTAAAAAGTATATATTTTTTTGTAATCAGTCTATTAACTTCACAATACTGCTTATAAGTCACACTTTATAAATAATTAGATACAATTGTTATTACTAGACACCAATATAAAATTCACACTAATCTGATCTTTACTAGGTATAATTTAAGTGAGATTTTTCTTTATATTTGTTGCAATTCAAATCTGTCCTAGTAAACAAACAGAGCAACTAGGTCTTAGAGTTTAGCAAAGATATGACCTTTATCATATCTTCTAAAAAAAAAATTAAATTTTAATATATATCTAATAGTCTTAGATGTTTTTAACAAAAATTACGTATCAATAGGATACAATATTTAATTATTATTCTTTGTTAGAAAGTGAAACTAAATTAAAATGCCAAAATATAAACAAGGACTTTGATAGTTACTGATTAGTATCTAATATGTGCTATAAAAAATAAATAATCTAATCAATTGACAACATAATTATAACATAATCTATAATATCAATTTACGCACTGTATACCTAATATAACCTAATATATAAATATATTGGGGGAAAGGGATTGTTAGCAATGGAGTTTGACAGCCCAATTGCTAGCTATATGCCCTATTAGGTCGATCTCCGCGTGGTTCCCCCTGGAAACTATCGTGAACAATTCTTGTTGAATTCGTCACGATGGGCTAACTGACCTGCTTCATCCTCACCTATTATCATTCACTGGTGCCCCGCCGCTGTATACCGTTAGAGCAGGTGGGGTTACCATTCCATTATCACCCATAAAAAAAAATATATATAAATATAACCAAAGAGGATTATGAGGGAGGCTATGACAATTGACAGTTAACGGCTTACAATACAAATACAAAATACTTCATATTAAAACTTTATCTTTTCATGGAGAGTGATAAATTTGTAATAAATAAATATACCTGTTTCTTATATAAATGAAAGGGGATATGTTTAGTGTAATTAAAGCATAAAATGGTTACAAATAAAGTAAATGAGAAAAAATAAGATAAAAGACAACATAAAAAAAGAAAGCAAAATAATATTTTTCTAGCAAAACATACTAATATAATAGATATACTAATCTGAAACTGAATAATAGAATTAATGAAAAATTTATACCTACATGGGATATGTCAAAAAATTTTTATCAACAATTTTTCATGTATTATTTCTTACTTGTAAGTATTTATGCTTTAAGTCATATATACTTTTTTATTTTCTCTATACATTATTATTATTATTATAAAACGAAATAAACGTTTATAAATTTTGTTTATTAGAATAATATAAATAATCATAACAATTTTTAATAATAACAATAAGTTATTTATTTGCATTGAGAGGCATCTATATTCTATAAAGGAACGTAACTTTTATAAAAATAAACACTCTTGTTCTGTTTTCAATCCGAGAGTCTCGTCGCTTGTGGAGACCTTTATCTACTCTTACATAGACATAACCAATACAATGTAAACATTATATAACAATATCTAATTTTCTTGTAAGGAATATTTTACTAATTTCTCCGATTCTATCCATAACTTTTTAGCTAGTTCATGATTTTGTGACAACTTCGAAGGTTCCTTTTCACGACAATCACTAAAATATCTTCCGCTCACATCAGCCACTTCTGGTGAGACAGCTAAGTAAATAGACGTTTGGGATGCTTCCCATGGTGTTTGGAACATGAATCCTAAAGTTCTCTCAACTAATTGACGAATAAATGCATTTGGAATGTTTCTAAACAGATTCGTTGCAGCCACTCCAGGATGCAAAGCATTTACGGTCACATCGGTCCCTTTTAATCTATTACTTAATTCCAATGTCATAAGATTTATAAATAACTTGCTATTTGCGTACACCTGATAATCACTCCAATATTTCTCCATGTTCAAGTTATCGAAGTCAAGTTCAGCATACTTGTGAATCATAGACGAAACGTTGATAATGCGGCTGGGCGCTGAACTCTTCAGTAAGGGTACCAGTTGGCACGTCAATAGGAACGATGCAAAAAAGTTAACCTGCATTCCGACGTGTAATCCATCATCAGTTGTATAATTCCCGAGACCCCCGGCACCCGCATTATTAATAAGTACATCAAGACGTTTCTCTGTTTTCTTTATCTGTTCACAAAATTCCCGAACAGATCGAAGCGATTTCAAGTCTAATTGTTGTATATGTATATCCTTATTCCCCGTCTCTTTTACAATAATTTGTTTCGCTGCAGTCGCGCGACTTACACTGCGACATGCCAAGATCACACGTGCACCACGGTTGGCTAAGTCTTTCGCCGTTTCAAATCCTATTCCACTGTTCGCGCCGGTCACTATAACGACTTTCCCGACCATGTGCGCACTCGACCGACAAATTCCACATGTTAGTTTCTGATATATTTTCACACTCACTACAATTAGCACTGGGATTAAAATCAACGTCCACAAAATCATTGCCACCGACATTTGTAGATTAATACAATATAGGTTATATTATACACGTTTGTACTTGGTGAATATATTATACAAAATATAAATTACATATAGAGGTTACGGAATGTTATGAGGAGGCGATAAGCGGTATCTATTTCTGTATTATATGTACTTTATAGATAAAACAACCAAAGATCAATATCTTTACATTTTTAAATGTCCTCAACGAAGTTACGTTCGTTTACTAGTAATATAATAGCTGTACTAGTTGTTGATGCCAAACGTGCGTACGCGCCGCGCCGGCGGCATCTCGTTAGTTGACGGATTGCGTAACGCGTCATTGAATTTTGTTCAGTGATATAACGATATCACCTTGAATTTATATAAACTAACTACGGTTGCTAATCCTGATAGCGGTAGATTTATTTATAGTCTGCAAATTTTAGACATCTGAATAATACAAAAAATAAGCAAACAATATATATCTACAATTTCTCTTACCATTATGATTTTTTATTGATATGAGAAAAATGAGACTTTTTTTTTATATAGTGTCAAACATATAATGATAAATTGATACTATTTATAGTCTTTTAAAGATGTGTTCCAATTAAATTAAATGGTCCATTTTTCCACAGAATCGTAAGAGAAAAATTGATAAAAATTTCAAATTTCTTGTACTAACTTGACTGATGAACGCTATATGTTATTAGTAGAACACTCTCTATTTCGATTTCGCCTTGTATGTGGTTAACATAAATCTGTATTATGGTAAATGTGCAACCAACTATACGAGTATAAGACAGGCGTATTTAAAACTGATCAAATCAAATAAACGTTCAACTAAGTGTCTCTATAATCTTAACTACATGAATACGCCTCTTGTGACCTATAAGCACATTCCTGAATACATAATATTTTTCTAATTTTGCTTTCTAAACATATGATATAAATTCCAAGGAGGAAGAAGGATTTGTGAGTAATGGGGTCGAACAGCCCCATTGCTAAGCATATAACCTAACAGATCTACCTCCGCGCGATTCCCACTGGAAATCATCGTGCTTAATTATTACGATAGGTCAATTAAGCTGCTTTCATTGGGGGGATGGGTTTGTTAATAATGACATCTAACAGGTCTATTACTAGCAATATACCCTAACAAGTCGACCTCCACGCGGTTCCTCCTGAAAACCATCGTAGTTAATGATTGATGCATTCATTACAATGAGCCAATTAGCCGGCTTCAGTCTCATCTATCGTCCCTCACTGGTGTCCCGCCAGCGTATACCGATAGCGCAAGTGGGGTTACCACTTCATCTTCATTTTTTTCATTAAAAAGATATATACATACATATACTGTCCCCACAATAATTAACAACCTTCATTGCAGTAGTGCTATTAATTTCTAAACATTGAAATAATGTCTAGCTTACCATTGAGAGATAAAGATATAACATACAATTACTATAGTAATAACACTAATAATGGCTTTATGTACCAGTAGTGCCTACTTATTTTTGTATATATATATATAATTGATATATTACAGAGACTGCATTTACAGAGACCTTGAAAATTAAGAATTATTATTTGGCACATATACTCATACTTACTAAATAATCCAAATTAAATCAATACTGAAACCATAAACTCAGAAAAAATGTAATACCTAACTTTACGATTGTTACGATCAAATCTTTATTTTCATGAATATGTAGTTACTTCTTTTTAAAATGTAGGTACTACTTTTGTCGTCGAAATATTATTGTTAAAGTAAAATTGACTCTATATAAAAAATTGGTCCATGTTATAATAAGTATTCCATTACTACCGACCTTAAATAAACGACTATATATAGATTTATTTATTTGCACTGCTGACTTGGTCATAACATTGCATCAAGGAATTTACATTTGTATACCTAATTCGTATATATTATCCATTAATTTATCGATTTATAAGAAGAATTATAATTTTGCAATCTTGCACGACAAATATTTACCATGTACACACCTACCTAATATTTGTACATTTTTAATTAATTTTCTATATAACCTTTTTCAAATCAACGTAACTAAACACGTATCTCCATCAGAGTACATGATTGTTTATTTAACTCAATTGCTTCCGTATATTCAAACAAGGAGGAACGAGGAAAAGTATTTTTGCCCAAAACAAGTTTATTCACCAAGCACCAGTGTAAAATCGTTTTCCAGATTTAGCAACGTTTTCTGTATTTACTGTGATAACTAAATATCTATGTACGAGTACATCTCAATGTCATTAACTAGTCTTTACTCAACGAAATTACTTATACGAAATTAAGTAAACTAAAAATATAACAAAATAAACTATAAATATAACAATTATATATTTGACCACCAATTGTAATTAGATGAACATGACACTGATTTTTCTTTCTTTTATATTTAAAAAAAAAACTTTTCGAACTACTTGGTCATAAGTAATGTTTTGTCATCTCAAGAATACCGTGTGTCTCCACTACCGTCCTACAACTTGGTTCACTAAACATACCTAATGGTTTCCCATTCCATTAGACAAATGTCAGTCACTGAGTTACTGGTAATTTGACGTTGGATATATTCAGAGGGATGTAACACAGGTACAATTAGACAGAGGATGCTTCATTCATATCCAAAGTTCGAATTATTAATTTTGATTCTGAAACCTCAATTTTGATTACCTTTTCATAAACCTACATGGCATGGGCATTAGTCCAAAAAGCATACGATTCAACCCTTATCTGATTAATATTTTCCGCATTCTATGTTTTGTTTATTGTTAAATACGTATAGAAAAGGTACGTAAACAAATAAAATATTCATAAATACATTTTCACGCCAGGTCCTAACTTTACCAGTATTATAAATGTGAAAGTGAGTTTGTTTGTTTGTTTATTACTCTTTAGTGCCTTAACAATTCAACCAATTAGTATAAAAATTGATAAACACGGAATAAATGTATTATCTGACATCTCAGGTTTTATAGTATACATAGTCTAGTAAGGAACTTAATTATTATTATAATAGCCGTTAGCAATTCACTGTTGAACAGAAACCTACCCCATAAAGGGGAATAAATAAGCAATAAGAAAAATCAAGTGACAATAACCTCTTTTTTCATTAACTTTCAGGGCTTACACTTAGACGACGATCCTCTTGACTCCACCATCATACAGTACGGAGTATAATAATATTATTAAGTAAAATACAGAGTTAACTATTAATAATAAATGAGTTAATGTCACCTTAAAAAAAATCGAGGTTAAAATTAACATATCTAAGTTAGAACGTTTTTCATGAAAACCGTCCTAACATCCTACAGTAAAAATGAATATGCTTACAACCTTAGATTAAAGATAGTAACTGCGGTCCCAACTCACGACTGTAATCCCTAATAGGGTAGTAATTCACGTCAGAAATATTTGTCAACTAGGTAGTACCGTTGAGGAGAACGTAAATACTTTATTTGCCCATATTTTGGCAAACATATTAGAATCCTACGTTCCATAACGAGCCTACCGCCGTCATTCAAATAAATGTCGGTGTTTTTCATCGTCTCTGTAATCTATAAATCGATATAGTTTCCAGTATGTCACCTTACTATATCCAATAATATCTGTCTATTATTAATTTTAATTAAGGTCAGAAAGAAGGTCATTTATTCGAACGTTAACAACGAATAATTTCTCTTAGGAGAGAAAAAATTGTTTGAAATAGAACAGATTTTTATGTATTTTTTGAAAACCAATTTTGAATTCCTATAATATCATGTATTAAATTATAAAGGTCACGTAGAAAATCAAATTTAATTTCTTGGGAATCAATTGTGACGTCCGGCAATGTCAATATATTATTATCTTATACTCGTATAAAGAAGGTACATAGATCGTGCCATTTCGGAAAAAGAGTCGAGGTTAGATATCAATAGAATATATTCAATTATTTCACGGAACTCTATTTAAACGTCGGTTAGTATCAATCTGCTTATTATTTTATACTTAAATCACATGGAAACCTACAGAAAATATTATATTATTTTTATTGGATACTTTTTTAATGGCCTGTTTATCTTTGGTTAACCTACGACATTTTATGATAAATATACCACAAAACAACGAGTAAGTATAAATATATTGACCAAAGATCAATTAATTAAAATGCAAACCATATAATCGTTAAAAAAGGGATAGTTAGTAATGAGGATGTTAAAGTACATTATAAGCAATATACACTCTCAGGTAGATCTCCACGCGGTTCTTCCTGAAAACGATTTTGATCAAATCTTATTCCATTGGTTACAAAGGGCCAGCTATCCTGGTTACCTCTTCTCTTAGCACCACTCACTACCCCGTCAGCGTACTCCGATAGCTCAAGCGAGGTTTTCCATTCCATTATAATCTGATCAAAAAACATATAATCATATGTTAATATTGAAGGTATATTTCAACTATCTTACTTCAGTCGTAAGTAGCAACACGTTACTATTTACTTACAATTGAAATGAAATACTGGCATATCTTTGTGCACTTTTTGCAATCCCAATAAATATATTAGGACAGGATAAACCGGGCCGGATCACTATCCGGGCCATCTTTGCACAGGTAAGTAGAATTTTCGAAAATAATATATTGTCTATATAACTCCCTAATAATTAGCTCTCTTAGATTGAAGAATTCCTCTATATAAGCGATAATATCCATTTCCTAACAATTCTCATTTAAGATCTTATTTCGCATCAAAAAATATAACTTTTTTTAACTTCAATCCTGAGAAAATTAATATAGTCATAATAACTAATGTTGGTGGAATGTAAACACAGCGCGAATAAGGACAACAATATTATAAATTGTATTAAAGGCAACACGTTAAAAATTTGCAAATTATGATAAATTATCAAAATTAGTACCTACTGTTTTATAGTTTATTAAGTCAAATGTTTTGTTTAATTATTGTTTATACGTTTGTTATAATTAATTATATCTTCGTTTACATTTTTGTTATTTAGTCTGTTACATATACAACCCTTGCGAAAACCGCTGATGAAGAGCATCACCTCCAACACGTGGTAAATGTATTTACACACCGCTCCAGTGCCCTCAATTGGTATGTTGTCAATTCAATGCAAAACTATTAATTATACTAAAATGCTGAATATACATTTGAGCATCGTGGTCTACGTGATTTACTCGAACAGGCATTGTGATATTTTCATCGGTAGAGTTAACTAATTGTAAATTATTAATTTTTATTCATTTATTTCATTTTGTAAACCTTTTT